TGCAAAAAAAACAGAGACTCACAAATGTGTATCAAGCTAATCAGCAGACTTTTTATAACTTGACCATTTATGACAGGGCCTCATTAGCAGTCTTTTGTAGACCCTGGCTAGTGAAGGTTTATGATGCATCTGTATTCCTTCTAACTTTGCTGTTCATTAAATATGTCATAAGCTGATTTAAGCATAGCTGCTCAAGCATAGACATGAGATACAAATATGACCATTTTTGTTACAGACCTGAAAATTCTGGGAAAAATTGGGATGCCAAATTAGTGTGGCACAGTGTTTAGAACTATTCCCCTACATTTTCTCCACATTGTTTTTACCAGACCTCACTATCATCACAAGGGGGAAGGCTTTACAAAGGCACTGTTACCTAAATATAGTTACATAGTAGATAAGGTTGGAAAAAAAAGACACAGGTCCATCAAGTCCAACCTACGTGTGTGTGTGTTTGTGTGTGTATGTTTGTCTGTGTCAGATTAAGTTAACTATCCTATAAGTATTATTATTATACAGGGATTATATAGCGGCAACAATTTGTGCAGCGCTTTACAATATAAGGAAGACATTACAGTTACAATACAAGTTAGGACAACATGGAAAGGAGGACCCTGCTCATGAGAGCTTGAGTATACATATCCCCGTATGCTGTGCTCATTGAGAAAGACATGTAGACATTTTTTGAATTTGTCACCCAGCTTTTACCACTACCTGGGGAACGGACTTCATCCTAAATGGGCAAGGTGACAGTGTCTCTTTAACTAATGTCACTAACATTGCTCTGCAACATTTTCATGTCTCACATTGTGGATTGTAAAGCAGGCTGTAAACGGCTGCCCTCCTCCCTGTGATTCTGTGTAACACGATCACTAAACACCAGCTCTGCCTTTATGTACAATACATTGTCCAGTGGGGGTTGCACTATAAATATTAATGAATGGTACAGAGAGCTCAGTTGTAACTTTCACAGATTGCTTGCAGAGCACAAAGGCAGCTGTTTACAATAGGATATGAAAAGGAAAGCTAACAAATAATATACGTTTCTGTGTTCATATACAGCAACTGCATATGCCTGCTTCATGTATATTTGGTGGTATATGTTTTAAAAAAAATACATATGCAGAGGTAGAAATGGGCTTTAAGACATTGTTCGTATTTAAGATAGCATTCTTACATAGATACACTTACCCCAATAGCTGTACACAATGGAATAAAACCCTCATGCATGTGTATCTCAGCGACAGCAAAGTGTAAGACTGGTTTAACAGCTGCAAATTTTTACTGAATCCAGCTGTTCATGTAACATAATTAAGATGTAAATATGTCAAGAAAATAAATGGCTTATATTAAAATGCTGTCTTTAGAGCAATTAAGATACATCTTCTTAAGAAATCTTAGAGTATAATTAGAATTATATTGATTATTCCCATTGCATGAAATTGCTACACTTAATCTGATGCATATCACAGATTTAAATAAATCATAATAATTCAGGCCATCTTGTCCTATGGGCATAGAAATATAGAGAGGATAGTATTTTTATAATTTGAAGGATTAGTTAGATGTAATAACAGATAACTCACAGAGTCCTTTAAAGCGATCATAATTGTGCACACTTCATTGTCCTCTGTACCTTGACATAGAAGTTTAAGATTAAGACACTCTAAGGAACTCTGGTTGTTTCAAGCAGTGATGGGTAAATGCAGTCACACAGCCATACTTACTAAACTGTCATTATTTAGCTGCCAGATATCTGACAAAAGTAATCCCACAGAAGCCCACTATTTTTAGACACTAGCCATTTGCACTTTGTTCATATCAATGCGTTTACAGCTAACATATTAAGTTAAACCTCGATGATACGTGGCCAAGAGGGTACAATGGAACATATTTGGTGGTCCTTATTATTGACTTCACATTGATCACGATATAAAGTAAATCACAGTTTAATAATAATATTTGATATAATAGAAGGGGCCAAGCGGCACAATAAGAATTTGGCGCCTTTTTTTTTTTTTCCTTTTCACACTTTTTTTCTTCTCCACAGTGATCTAATATGGATCACGATATAAATTAATACACAGTTTAATAATAATATTTGATAGAAGGGGCCAGGTGGCATAATAAGAATTTGGCCCTTTTTTTTTTTCCTCTCTTTTTCTTTTTCTCCCTCTCTCTCTCCTCTATTTGACTTCAGGTATAGGAGAAGAGGGCATTACTAATTATACCTGCTATAGGGCAGGTTTGGCACTGCTAAGGACACTTACACAAAGATATAAATATTTAGTGGATAATGTACTTATGATTAGTTTTAGGAAGGTAGAGGGAGACGCACATATATATGTACGTGCATATAAAATATAGTTTTAAAAATAATAAAAGAGGACACCCCACAAGGAGAAAGATGGCACAATAAAAATTTAAGGGATTTAACCCTTGTCGAATTTAGATATGGGAAGAAAAATACACCTTTTTTTTCTCTCCTCTGGGGGATTGGAAGACTGTAGAGGTAGGATATTGTGAATGTTAGTTATTATTTATTTATTTTTTATTGTGTATATGTATGTGGTTAAAATGCAATTGCTTATTTGTTTAATGTACTGTTTGAATATGAAATAAAAAAAATGTTGATATAAAAAAAAAAAACCTTGATGATACAATTTAAGTAAGAATTACATATTTGCTGCAGTCATATGTTTGAAACAAGACGCTGTGCCAGTCAAGCTATAATATATCTTGGAAGGTACTATGTCACTAATAGGAAACTAAACTTACATGCCATAGACTTGTCAGACTTGTCAGATTTGACAGAAATGTTCCACCTTTAGATGACTTTTAAGAAATTGTCCATTTTGTCCATGAGAAAACAGGCCATCATGATGTCAGAAAAGGATCCTGGAGAAGCAGTCCACAAGTCAGAAAAGTGGACTGTATTAGGACCGGAAGGCAATGGATGTAAAAAAACGGAACCAATGATCAAAACTGCTGTAATCAGAAAATGTAGCTGAAAAGTGTGGCTTTACCTATAGCAGTCATGGTTTTCCTAACGCAAGCAGGTACTTGGTTGCCCCCAGGATTTATTACACAACACTATATTATCTGGCCAGGTAGCACAAGAGAATAAGGAAAAATAGAATAAGAGTACCTGTGGGTCCGGAAGATATACAGTAGATGTCCACATTGGATGGAGGGGACAGGTGCCTTGGCTGGACAGTAAACGGGGGGGGGATGTGGCAAGTGGTTGGTCACAACATCAGGCAGAGACATGGTCAGTAAAAGGGCAAAAAGTTGGTCCAGGCAGACAGCAGAAATGTGGTTAAAAACAGACAGAATTTGCTAGAAATAATGTACTCGAGATTTTAAAGGTTCCCCTTCCTATGCCAAAGTTTTGCTACTGGATGCTGTGGATGACGGGGGTTGACGGGAGCCCTGACAGACTACCAAGGTCTCTCTGCTATGTATTTGGACAGGTGGGGGTAGAGCTGCTATGTGTGTGATTATTTGCCTGTCACTAAACTGCCTTGGACATTGATCCAGACAGCAATGGTACTCTCAGGCAAGGGGGTGAAAATGTGGACCTGCCCTAATCAAACTTGATAAGAACATGTTTCTTTTTTTATATCCTCCATAGTTATCCTCTCTCCACACATCAATTCAGTAAGGTCCAACAAAACAGGAATCTCTTTCTTGAATAGCATCTGATACACCACAAATCAAAGATGACCTATGCCTGTATCCTGTCTCTGATTCAAATATGTTTGCAGTGTTTTCTGAATACCATTAGCTACACAATGATCTGACTATTACCTAGGATCCAATCTGGTGTGTATCCCTGGTCATACACAGAGGAAAGCTGAGCCACCTGCGCTGCCTTGTAGTATTACCTTTTTTAAACCTAAAAATAATACCTTAAATGTGACACATTGCTCGTGTTTGGTTGATAAATACGTTTTGCTGTGTAAAAATGCACACGCACCTGGTGCGTGTGTGTGTTTAGGTTAGTAAATCACCCCCACTGACTCTCTAAGATGTCTTGTCTTATTTTTTTCTTAAAATTGTGTTTTTTATCAGTTTAAACATTTGATATGTTTTCTATTTTCTATTGTGAATACAAGATGGGTTTATGAGATTTGCAGATCATTGCATTGTGTTTTTATGTAGATTTTAGACAGTGTCCCAACTTTTCGGGAATTGGGGTTGTAACTTTTGACAATGGCATCTACTCACATGCTCACTTTTCATATGTGTTGATGAATGAGACTCATCGTCATTTTGTTTTAAGTCTGAGAAGAATTTATAGTTAGCAAGATTGATGAATTGATTTTTCTTTTTTGAGTGCATTATTAAATATGGCCCACTGTCCTGTCACCACTAAGGGAGAACCTTTTGGAGTAAGCACTAAAGGTATCGATTCTTCAGGATCTAGTAACATCAATGACCCATCAATACAAAAATTAGAGATTAAATCTTAGACCACAAAATGGCTTTTTTCCACTGTGCACTGGCAATGTATTATAATGTATAATGGAAATAACATGATTACAACAATTACATCTTTTAGCAAAATAACTATCAAACACACAGTCAGGTACAAAGTTCTTTTTATTAAAGTAATAATTTTTTTATCATTTTTATTTTTTGTTACAAAAGGCTAAGTGGCTCTGAGAGCAAAAAGTACAGTTATTGTATACAGTATGCTACAGATCCTTCAGGCTGGTCCTAGACTTGACACTATTTAATCCACTTCTGTTTTAGGTCTGTACTATGACTAGCGGCCCTAAAGAGCCACTCTATCCCTAGCACATTTTAAGCTATTTACACTTTAAAAAAAAGATTACAATTGTCAATAAAAAAAGTTTTTAAAAAAAGTGACAAAAGTACTTGCTTCTATCTTACAATCTTGCAGAATGTGGCATTCAAAGCCATTCTGAAAATTCACAAAATAAACCATTGTGAAAAACAGGTAACAGGTGTAAAACTTGAGTAACAGTGGCATGTTATCTGCTGAATTTGAGAACTGCGGGAGGATGGCTATGGTTTGGCAATATTCTTGGTCCCCATTTAAAGAATAAACATAAAATAAGGCACATACATTTCAATAAAGAACTTAAACACTGATGTGTAATGTATACAACTACAGACATAGTACAAGAAACATTTGAACAGTAAAGTAGTACCATATTAAGACTTAACATAATTAAAATCAAGCCTCTTTGGGAAATTATGTCTGCAGTGCTACATGAAGTCAAGTACTGAACCAATATGTCAAAAACAAGAGTACCATACACTTTGCACACAACAATAACAATAATTATAAAAAACAAAATACAAGTGGAGATTTCCCTTTCTACAAACAGGTTGCCGTTTATTACATCAAGTTATAAGCAAAAATGTCAGTGTTAATATAGGTCTGGCCCATATGGCATATATATGTTTTACAGGGACTAAATAAGTCATGACTGGCCTTTTTAAAACTTGGCATGACATGACATAATGATTGCCTTTGCGTAGATGTCCATTTTTAAGGTATTTCTATTATTTCCAAGCTGAAAAAACAAGCAGAAAAACACTTATTCATGTAAATAATAACAATACATTTAATAGACCAAGTCATTTTCTGTACTGTATTTTTGGCATGCTACCCTTAACACCATCCAGAACTGCAACCTGGATGTATTTACACTCTAGTGGTGCATAATTACAACTGCATTATCTGCAAATCGGACACAAGCAAGAATGAGACAGGGTGGCCACAACAAGCTGTGATAAGTTGGTTTAGAATGGCAAGTTAAGTTTTCCAAAAGAATACATTTACACAAGATCAGTCACTTAAATGATTAAACCAAGCAACTAAAGAGAATTAAGATGTTTTTGAAAAAACATGTCAAACATGCACATACATCACACTATTAGATCGCTTTACATTTAAAGGGAATCATATAGACCCATTCAGCAAGAAAAACAAATGCATGATTTTGAGCTGTCAATACTGATCCAAAACTGAAATGGAAGACTATTTCTCCCTATAACACTTTAGGGCTTGAGTCATTATTCCATAATGGAACATACTTGGAATGTATCCCTTTTAACTGGGATAAAAATTGCTAAAATATGTACGTACATATAAAATGAGTTACTTTTATATTCATGTACAGTTCATTTTAGTCCTCCAATTTATTGCATAACAGCAAGAAACTTGCTTTCTTCTGCAAGTGAGCTTAATAAAGAACTCATGTCCCCAATTGCCATGTTAGTGGTAATCACTGGCATGGTTGGGAATGTAAGAGATGCTCGGGGAGTTGTAAGACGTGATGAATTACGAGACAGGTTCTGGAAGATGCTTGGACTTAGAGCTCCTGAAATTAGGCTGGCATGATCCCCATCATCTATGATGGCATCAAAATCAATTTGCACCCCATCTAAACTGCTGCCATCAATATTATTAACTGTACTTGTGACTTGGTTAACTCCTGGTGAGAGAAGCTCAGAAGCATTGGCATTATTACCGTCTTCCATTAGGCAGCTGCCTTCTGGGACAGACAGAGAGCTGGATTTCAATCTCTGTTGAGGGTAGCCCATTGCCTGGTCATACAACTGACCCGAGTAGTTCTGTGAATTTGCGCAATGTTGTTGTGGTGACATTTCTGTTTTCACGCCATTCATTTTGTAAATTTGTTGGCTGTTGTCATTCACTTGATCTTGAATATATGATATACTTCTTTGTACATTTTGCCTGCCATTCCCACCTGTGCTAAAGCATGTTAGGTCATTTCTGGCCTGTGGATTTTGTCGGTTACCACTGGGTTGCACTGTTGGTGGGAAATTCTGTGCAGCTGCCATATTCTGATTGTTCTGACCCGCGACTGACTGATTAGATCGATTTACTCCTAACAAATTCATGCCATATATCATGTGTTCAGTTGCAAGCTGTTGAATATATTCTTGGTTTAAAAGATTTGAATTCTGTAATACTTGAGCTGCATCAGATAACTGCTCAGCATAGTGCATGGATGATACAAAGTTCTGCAGTGCACTGTTAATCTGGCTGTTACTTGCACACTTCTGCCCTCTGGTTGCTGGGCTGCAGGGTACTGGATATTGCTGGTCTTTGTTAGCCAGGGAAGTAGTGTACAGATTATAATTATTCTGTATCATTTGAGAATTATTCTGTGCATTATGGTAGCCCCTCTGCTGTGACTGTCCATTTTTTGTCATGTTTTGCTGCTGAACGACCATATTACTGTACAAACCAAAAGGTCGAATTTGCTGCGTAACAAAACGTTGCCCGTATTTCATTCTCGAAGGGGACTGTTCTGCACTGCCTGAGCTAACTTCATTCCACTGTATTGGGAGGTCATTCTTATTATTTAATTGGTCTACCAGCTCCCCATTTCGAACTTGCTGATAAAATGAGCCATTAGTCATATGGGGGTGGTGATAATTAATGTTCCTTGTTGAAGTTGTATTGTTTTGTGGTGTTTCTGGTTCACTGTTCTGTGAGTTTTCATACAAACTTTGGTTTTGTGAATCAAGGTACTGAACCATATCATCTGGTAAGAAGTCCTCATCATCCAAATTCCCTTCGGCTTCCATAATCATGGCCTCCAGGGCCACATTTTCGCTAATGCTGGGAGGACATGGAGAATATACACTGCGTGTATAATTTTGCAGAGCCAAGTTACGCCTATCGGTAAGTGCAGGCACATCATGAGAACTGATGCCATTTAGACTGTTGAAACGTTGAACTCTACCAGTAGATAAATTAGAAGACACCATTTTTACAGGATCACTTGCCCTACGCATAGCATTTGCTTGTAACTCGCTGGGAATTAAATGTCTTCTGCTCACTCCACCATCACTACATCTCCTAGGAACATTGTTTGAAGAAAGGGGAGATAATCTACTGTCTCTTGTGTCACCCAATAATGCCATTCTGGTCTTAAGACTCATCATGTCCATGTTAGGTAATGGTGTTGGTGGAGGACCACCTGTAGCAGCAGCATATTTGGCTTTTAACCTGTATTGCTGTGCTGGAGTAAGGCTAAAGAGGCTAGGCAAACCATCACACTGACTTGCATCACTTGACCTTCTTGAGGCATCGGTAGAGATGGGATCATATGAATCTGCAACACTGATGTTCTGAACCCTTCCTTCTGCTTGGGAAGCCTCACTTGATCTTCGGCTAGAAAAACATGGTGAAATTCCAGAAGATCTTCGACTACTTAAGTATGCAGAGCTGATTGTACTAGCATTGCTGTCCCTTCTATTGTTTAACATATTCAATACTGTGATGTCAGTACTTGAAAACTCATTTTGGCTAGGAAGAATGGACATTGAGTCTCCCAAACTAAGGTTACTGCCTGGCAGGAAACCTAGAGAAAGCACAAAAAGGTCATGAATTTAATTTCCATTATTCAATAGACAAACACAAATAGAATAGTTCATTCTTTTTAGTATTTCATATTTTACGCTTCTGATAAAATGACACAGAGCAGTGAGAATGTAGGGGCTTATATTTATGTGCATTTATCAGCTCTGGGGGGAGCATTTTGATAAGTAAGCTCTCTCCTGAACTCATCATGAAAGTATTGCAGGTGTAAATTTGTATTTCTACAAGATCTATCTATCTATCTATCTATCTATCTATCTATCTATCTATCTATCTATCTATCTATCTATCTATCTATCTATCTATCAGCATTTTTTATAGGACCCTCTGAATGCACTATGTGTCATCAATATTTGCTATACAGTAATCCTAGCCATAATATCATAGCAGTTGATGAGAATATTATAGCTCAGCTTACCATTTCCAAAGATAGGTGGCAGAGATGGGGCCTTGGAAGGTGGTACAGGGTTCAGTCTTGGAAGTATACCATTAATCTGTTTGATTCTTTCTAATTTAACTTGTTCCATCCATTTAGTTCCTGTCATTATCCTCCTGCCTTGTAAACCAAGTCCTGTGGTTGCTGTGGAAATGGTAGAGTCCATGATTGGGGTATCATCCAGGTTGCTGAGGTCTCCTATGCTGCCTACATTATTCAGAGTAAGCTCGATCCCACTGTTGGTATAGTTGCTGATGGGGGACTGCTCGCTGCTGCATGAAGACTTACTACCAGGGCTTGGCTGAGATGTCTGTTGGAAAATTAATAAATAAATGTCAAACCATTAAGCACATAGCACATTACTGCACAAGCATATAGCCAATATACAGGCAACACTTGAAGAGGTATTTATACAGAGTGATATTAGCTTTATATGAGAAGGGGAGATAAAATTCAAAAGGCAAAAGACAATAATATAATCTGCATATCTATCATCTGTAAACACATTTTTATTAGATATGATTGGATATAATATTTTTCTGCACAATTACAGCACTAAGACATACACAATGTATAAAGCTACTAACATAATCAATACATACAACACATCACAATGGTGGCTGGATATGAATAACTGTTTTCTATGAATCTTTTGCAAGGCACTAAAGAAGAATTCCAAGTAAGTATAATCGTGTAGTTACACTTACCTCTGATGCACACTTCACTACATATGTCACTTTTAAAAGTTGTCTCTTTCCATTCTGTGGCTGCTGCCCAGTAATCTTCCAGTCCCTGTAGAACTCTTCAACATTTGAATTGAAGTATTTGGTACTATAGAAATCTGTGGGGAGTACCAAACTTCCCAGCATGCTGCAGAGTGGCACAGGGACTAGCATTCTAGTTAGCAGGAGAACAGCAAGAGCTAAGCTTTTAAAGCAGCAGATTAAGTGAAAAACACTAGAAATGTAAGTGTAACTTAGACAATGGGGTGGTTTACTAAAGGCAAATCGGTTTTTCACTTTGCTAGGACATTTTCCCTTAGCTTAATGAATGAGTTGAAGCTCTGCTGACTTCCATCATCCAATCATATGCAGGCAAAAATATATTTTTCTTGCACAAGATGGTTATTCTTGGCAAAGTGAACTTTTACCACACTCACTAAGTAAAGGGAAAATTAAACAGTGTATTTGCCTTAAGTAAAACAAACCCATTACATTTAACTCCCCCAAAGATTTACAACTAAGATACCCGGAATTATTCTTTAATTAAAGTTAGAGATGAGCAAATGTAAAAAAAAAAAAACACGTTTAAGGGCAATTTGCCAATCCACTGCCATTTTTCCCCACCACTGATTATCCTTTTTTTGTGTTTTTATTTTTTTTAATGTAAACATGTATTGCACTTCCTCAAAGTACACCAGTCTGGAATGCCAGGCATATGGACTGACATTCCTATAGTAAAAAAATAAGAAAAGTATTGAGCATATGGACCCCCTGCTTTGCAAAGAACAGCTTAAATGTCTATTGCATAGTGTAAACATTTCAAAATGGGATCACAAAAAACTGCCCACAAAGGTAATAATGATATTTGGGAGTTTGCGTCGGTTACATCTTAAATAAAGCTGATACATGCAACCTTTGGACCCCTTACCAGTTCAATAAATGCAGAGTAAACTAATAGTGAAATGTGAACCCTAGCTTTTTTTTTTAAAGGAGAACTATGGGGTTAGGGCTTTTCCCCATAGTTCTCCTTAGGGTAACGGGAGGACACAAACTAGCGTCACCCTAAGCTCAGTATACCGCGAGCTACAGCTCGCGGTATACTGAGATACCGCAGCTGAAGCGGATCACGACAATTATGTCTGGATCCACCCAGCTGCCTGAGTGACAGCTGTATCTAGAGGCAGAGCCAGCTGTACCCGCCCCCTCCCCAGTCCGTTCCGCCAGTCAGCGCTGGAGGAACGGAGCGGGGTTAATCCAGCCACTCCCCTGTCACGGCAGAGAGCTGTGACAGGATCGAGTAGTGAGCGAACGCCGGTATGTGTTCGCTCACTTCCCGGTCTACTGAGCCGACCTGTGACAGTTTCATTGTCACAGGTCGGCTAGAACTATGAGGTGAGTGAAAAGCACTCACCTCATAGTTCTCCTTTAATACTTATGTAAATTAAAGGAGAACTATGGGGTTATGGCTTTTCCCTGAGACGCCGCAGCTGAAAAGGATCACGACAATAAGGTCTATCTAGAGGCAGAGCCAGCTGTGTCCGCCCCCTCATCCGTCCGTTCCGCCAGTCAGCGCTGGGGGAATCCCGTGACAGTCACTCCCCAATCTCGGCACTCTGCAGTGACAGGATCAAGAAGTGAGCGAACGCCGGTATGTGTTCGCTCACTTCCCGGTCTACTGAGCCGACCTGTGACAGTTTCATTGTCACAGGTCGGCTAGAACTATGAGGATGAGTGAAAATCACTCACCTCATAGTCCTCCTTTAAACACTTCCTTGCCCCCTTACTAAAAATGTTTATTAAGGCTCAGTAATTTTTTTTCTCTGCTACACCCCATCTATGCTAACATTTTCAGGGGATAAACCCCTGCCTTTTTCCACATACCTTTATGAAAACTGCAGCATTCATAATCTCGTACTGTAATTCCTATGACTAAAGAAAATGTATAGTCTTTCTGCAAATATCTTGTACATTATAACTCATGTATATTAGGATAACCTTAACTGCTTTGTTGAAGAAGCCTGCTTTTTACAGAATTCAAGTTATAACTACATGCACGGCTTAATAAGCCAGAAAAGTTATTCTTTACCCTTCCCTTTCTGTTCTGTATAGCTCCATAACACACTCAATACCATAAGAGTTTCTATTAGAAAGAGACATGCTGAAAGCAAACAGCTTCTGTTGTGCTCTGTCTTTAGAAAACCCATAATGCTTTGTGACACCTGTGGCATAGGTGCACCCTGTACAAACATTTATTTAATTGTTTTTATATAATTGGGTTCATCATGAAAAATAAGCATAGTATTATTAATTAGAACTGTATCTTCCTCAATATCTATTTGTGGGCACCAGTGGTGCAGAAATCCTAGTTCTTCCCGGCACTGCTCTGGGGTGCTTTGAAAGATTGTTTCTTTTGTTTTGGTCTCCTTGTTAAATCACCCACCCAACCCTAAAGGGAATACAGACTGGTGTCATTATAGCAGGTCTCCTGTCCACTCGTGGGTAATTTGCTATGTTGAGACACCAGCCTGTGTGCCTAGTTTGCCATGGTGTGCTTTAGGGGAAGGGGGGCTATCCATTAGCCACAAACCAGCACAATCTACAATGACACTTGAACACATGGATTAGTTTGCTCATGTCTAACAAAAGTGTATATAAAAAAAGAATATGATGAGTTTCTAGGTCCAGACATATATGGTAATAATATAATCCCTCACCTTATTACCCACTGTCCTTAGTAAGGTTGAGAAAGACATTTAAAAATTAGACAGAAAAGACAGCAAATTAGAAAATAACTTTATAACAGTGCACTGCTAGTTATACTGTTTTTGCAGGTTATTATATTTTGCATGCATTTAGGTCTAAGTACATTTTCTGCTAGTATCTGTACTGTTCACAAATGCATAGGACGATTGTATTGAGAACAAAAGATACATAAACAAGGGGACAAAGGGTAAAAAACAGGTACACAAAAAAGATTTAGAAATCATTTTACTTTTATGTAGATGTAAAGCAAATGTTTCCTATGATAAAGCTGACCTCCAGGCTTCCTCTAGCTAATCGCAGACATTACAGGAAAAAAACAAAAAAAAAACAACCCTAAATACTGTATTCTTTTTACTCGCCTTAAGCTGCAAGGATGTGGCACTCCAATCCTAACTATTCTTTCTTTATCTACATACAGGAGGCAGTGTTCTTTTTCTGGTGTCCACGTCATAGACCCTTCCTATTGGCTGTCCAGCGGCGGGTGCCACTCAGGATCCAGAAGAGGAATCTGCAGCAGTGATGTCAGCACCTAGGGACTGTCAGGGACTGGCCAACATGGGCACAATGTTGGATTAGCAGTCCCCTGCACCTGGAGATAGTGCTGGTGAGGGAACTGTGCAGCGGTAAAGTATATCTAATACCTATGAGTATATGATATAATGTAGTAAAATATATGACTTATAAGTATACGTATAAACAGTATATCTAAAAGGTAAGACAGAATAAAAATGTGCAAGATGGGTTAGATGGGGGGGTTATAAAAAATTTTCAGTGATGAGCTTTAAAGGAAGCATGTATTAAGATAAATATGGAAGCATACAAATCTGAAGTCAGAGCTTCTAATCAGAATACATTATTTATATATACCACCATACCTCCTCAGGGCAGGTTTCTTCAAACATTAGACAATTCATAATAGAAGGGCAAGCTAGAAAGTGCACTTGGTAAATAGTAGGGCTGCGGAAATTAACGATTAATCCTTCGATTAATCGTTAATTTTTTTGATCGATGAAAATTATTTTGATCGATCAAAGTTCTTTTGATCCATACTCACCTCTCCGCCGGCTTCCTGGACGTCACTGGACTCCTCCCCCTTTCCTTCGTTACCCGATGGAGTACACAGTGAGTACACAGCCTAACTCTCCCGGCCGCCCGGGAGAGTAGTTTAATCTGCTCTCTCTTTTTAACGGAAAGGTTTAATCTGCGGCCATATTGAGTGGGGCACGTGAGATTAATAACGTGCTGGATTAGTGTGATACTAGTTCATTTTATTACTTCATTGCTGTGCTGTATGTGTATAGGCCGATGTAGTTGGATCTGTATGTGCGTTATAATTAATCGAAATTAATCGATTAAAAAAAATTTCGATTAATCGAACAGGATAATTTTAATCATTACCAGCCCTAGTAAATAGCAAAAACATCTTTAACTTTTTAAAAGTCATAAAAATAGAAATAGATTTAAGATTTAATAATGGATGGACGCACATGGTGAAACAGTTACCGTATATACTCGAGTATAAGCCGACCTGAATATAAGCCGAGGTACCTAATTTTACCACTGCTGACTCATCCCTGCTCCCCTGCTCCTGACTGGCTGCTGCAGGGTTTTTTCTTTTTCTTCTTACTTATCTCGCCGAGCTGAAAAACTCGGCTTATACTCGAGTATATACGGTAATGTGATTAGCTGCGAGACACGCGCTGAAGACAATCAAAGAGATGCTTAAAGTATATGTGAACCCTGACTATGAACTTCTCTTATTTGTTCTTTTTGGTCTGCTAAATATACCATTGAAAGTGTTTTGTTATATCGGTTTGATAAGTGCAAAAAAATACCTGTTGATTTTGCAAGATAGCTTAATGTGCTTTCTACCTGTGTACAAGAAGGTGTTATGGAGATGTGGATGGGGGAGAGATATAAAGAGTTAAAGGGTTTTATTTGTAATCTATCAAAAATGAAGTAGGCAGAACTGACACCAAGTGCTTAAGAATTCAAAGCAAAATATACATGTTGTTGTTTCAAAGCGGTAGATAGCAGCATACTATATTTCTGATACATCAAAAGTTGTTGTTTGTACTTGCAACATATTTAAAGGGATAAAACCTGGGGAAATGTGCACGTATTCCAGACTCAATGTTTTTTTAATTTATTTTGCCTTGACACACGCTTTAAGAGGATAACAAAATAATAGCTCATTACACAGTACAGTGGACTGTGATTCTAAAAAACTCTCATGCTCTGACAATTTTATAGTAAGTGTCAATTGTTTTTTAAATGCTAATCATTTTTAATACAGAAAAAATGCAGATCCAAGCTTCTCTACTAAGTTTAAAGTAGAATTAAATTAATTCCCCAAAATCTTATAAAATCTTTGCTTATAATTTCAGAAGTCATTTTTATTCTTTTTAAATCTAAAGATTTTATTTTAATAACACCTGGTACTCCTGCAATGAAGGTACTTGTTCAGGCACTTGATTTTATAGAGTGAACATGCCCTGTCCCTGTCTCCCTATTGCTCTCCTGCATTATCACACTGTCACATGCTCTTCTGGTGCAGACTATAAGCAGCTGTACCAATAGTAATTTCCCAGGCATGTTTCGCTGTTGCCCCCATCTGGAGGCCAGTCCTAAGAAAAGACATGTAGACATCACTTAAGCGAGTACATGTCAATGAAGTGGCTGCAAAGGGGCAGTGGATAAGATCAGCAAAACTGGGATGCAAAAGAAAATGAATAAATAGTAAAAACAGTATTTACTGAAAGGAAAAAATATGGCAATTGTTTATGATGCACGTTAGCAAACTCAATGGTACCTATTTAGGGTTTACTGACCTAATTAAAAGCTTTCCTGGCTCCTAGTTGGGATCTGTTGGAAAGCAGTTCTACTGTAATTATGTCTGCAACACCTACATCTCTAAGCAGAAAGTATTTCTGGTCACGGTATACAGAAAAATGCAAAGTATTAATGGTAGAAGGACAACAATTATTAGCACAATACTAACATTTGGTCTATTAAAACACATATTTAAAAATATATTTATTTAAAAATAATGGCAGCATAACCTGCCATTCACTAAGAAAATCGAACAAAGTAACAAGACATATTCTTGCCGGCAGCCATTCAGTTTTCATTGTGAATAACTGCATGTGTTGCAGATACCATGGTGTGGTGCTGGCTACATCCACATTCTCTAGATCACATGTGTCAAACTCAAGGCCAGAGGCCAAATCCGGCCCACCAGGCCATTTCCTAGACTTCTACTTTCAGATCTAGGTATTAAGTCATAATCGAATGCAGAGGCAATTATAATAAAGATTAGATACATTTACATAGGGGTCTATTCACTAAGCTGCCGTAGGCAGCCGAGTGAAAGACCGACCTGAAGTGAGCCAAACGCGTGGCATGTTCGGCCGACTTTGCAAATTGAAATAGCCAATAGGAATCTAGCAATGCATTCTTATGGCCAGATTTTATTTTTATTTTTTTCTATTCTGACACTCCGTGTCAGAATAAGAAAAAAAAAGAAAAAGCAGTGTTTCTCTCCTTGGCGGCCGGGGGCAGGATACCCCCGGAGCGCCAGGGAGAGTTTGCTGTCTGGAGATCAGTGTCCCTGGTTAGCTGGTAACCAGGGACGCTGATCTCTCTGCAAGTGGCCGGAGCCAGCCGTAAGATCACGGCTGGCTCCGCCCAGCTGCCAGAAGCAGGCTGCCGGCCGGCCAAGGGCTTGCCTGAGCCGCTGGGCCAAGTTCGGGAGCTGTATGGGCTATAGTGAATAGCCCTTAAAGTAGCCCTTAGGTTCTACTGAACCGAAGGGGTCCTGGGGCCGCAGCTAGCCGAAGGATCGGCTGAAACTACGGCTACATCCTTTGGCTGCTTTGTGAATGGACCCCATAGTCTTACAGATACCTTTGAGGGCAACCATAATGTTGATGCGGCCAACGATTAAATTGAGTTTGACACCCCTGCCCTAGATGGAATATAATGTTTGATCAAGATTCCAGCATGAGAATAGAGATTACCAGAAGAGTGCAAGTAAAGCAAGATTTGCACAGAACCCTAAACAACAAAGTGAAAGTAAAGCAGGCTTTGCACAGAACCCTAAAACGAAAAGATATAATGTAGAAATAGTAGCATAACTCAGCTACTGTAATGTATCAAATTTTTATTACAATGGCACTGTTGCGTCAGAATCTTTGTTTTGGCATAAAACATGCAGTTTTAATACCAAGATAAAGCTGCTATTTGTAAAGGAGTCACTACAAAGGTGTAATATCTTTGACCAAGATAGTGTCATTTGGTGACTGGCACATGGCATTTTTTCCTAATACAGAAACCAGTCCTGAACTATTCCTCAATAGGATAATTGGGGGCAGAAGCAAAAGCTGTATAAACATATCTCAACAGTAAACTGCATACCATTGGTTTTTCAGTTTTCACTGATTTTACATGGAGGCATTCTTCATGCTTTGAGGTAGTGTTACTGAGGTCCTTGTGCTCTCCATGTGCACCGTGAACCGCATGGCCTGGTGATCGGGATTGTGAATGATTCCCCGGCTCTCTTGGTGGAGGAGGTCTTGGGTGGATGTCACCACGCTGTTTCTTAGTAACATGAGCCTCAGGACCATGGACAGTCTTTACATGTTTCCTCAAAGAGCTGGGATCTGTGTATCGTTTAGTGCAGCCAGGGATTTTACATACATATGGTTTCTGTAAGGTAAATAAATAGCAAAAAAAACAAAGGATGTTAATTAGATAGGTTGCTAAATTTTTAAAGATTTCAATCAGAGCTATAATGATTATAAATGAAGCTAAAAAATCAGCACCACCTAAAAGGAACAATTAGTAAAGTCCCTGCAGCCAGTAGGTAAAAATCTCTTTTAAAGAGGAAATGCTTGGAGACTCTATCAAGTTTTAAACCTTTCCAATTCTACCCAAAACAAAATACAAACTTTTGGACTGGCCATTCTCATTATCATGACAAAAACCATCAGTGCAATGACAACTGTATTATTATGTTCATACTAGCATATTTAATGAAATATTTTTAGCTATATCTCTCTAACAAAGCACTAGAACATATATGGTTCTTACCAACACTATACAAAAGTAAGAAACATGTTTTGATATGACATACCCTTTATCTAAATATACCTATACACTTTTCTTAAAGTCTAATAATGATTAAAAACATTTTGTGCAAAAGGGTGATTCATATTTTAGATGGGTCTGTCCTTAAATATCCTAATCATGGGCCGTAATTAACTAAAGTAAAGCATTTTCATTTTCAAAGTGAAGTTTCACTTATCTTAGCCAATAAGGTGAAACAAAGTGAAAATTAATTTTACAAAGAATACCCAATCAAAAAAACAAAAAACAAAAAAACCAACAGAATTTGTGTGTACATTTTTGGATGATTGAATTTAGCACAGCTTCAATCATCTTCAGCACAGCTTCCATTGATTATGCTAAGTGAAAAATCACTTTGCAAAAATAAAAATCACTTAGGAGCGTGAATAAGTGGAATTTGTGCTGACTTCAACCATCCAATCATGTGCAAGCTAAAATCCTGTATTTTAAAAGTGTCCTTGTACGTGATTGTATGTTTTTTGTAAAGTGAATTTTCATTTTTGTTTCACCCTAGTCATGAAGTGACTGAAAATTCAGTTGAGAATGCTTTACTGCTTTAAATCTACTACATACTATTTAATAGCTTAAAAAAATAAAAGCTCAGACATGTAATTATATTACACTTACATGCTGTTATAACAAAAACAACTGAATGTATAGTATAATGGCATGCATACTTTAAAACAAATAAAGCTATTTATAAAAAAAGCAAGTTTGATTAGATGGATAGTAAATCTGAGAGGTGTAATTAAGCTGCCCATAAAGTGCATAGAGTAATGGAAACTACTGTTGGAAATATAAATTATATCCAGAAAACAAGTTTTATAGAAATGAATTAGCTTAGAAAATTCCAATGAAATCCCAGTTCTATCTTAGTTCACAAGCAGACACATAAACCATACAAGAATGTATTTGCCATCCCTTCATTACTGTTGGATTTTTTAAACCTTTTTTTGTTGAAATAATTCAGAAAAATGGATTAGGGGAACGTTAATAGACTGCCGCATGATGTATGAAGCAGTCACCAGTAACTATTCACTACTCCCACCAGCCCACGGCCAGGCAGCATTTATTTTACAAAAATTGTTGGTTTTTTATAAATGCCTCCTTGTTGGCTAATATAATAGGGATAGATTTCTACGTGAAATGTTCTGATATGGTAGATTTTTCAAATCTAACAGAATACCTAATATAGGTAGTTTACCTCATTAGAATGAGTTCGGTTTTGGTGCTTGGCTCTGTCAGAAGCATTAGAGAAAGCCTTGTTGCAGCCTTCATGCTCACAGACATAAGGTTTCTCTCCAGTGTGAGATCTCAAGTGGGTTTTCAAGTTTTCTAATCTGGAGTAAGCCTTTGAACAGCCTTCAAACTGAATAAAATAAGAAAGAAGGAAACAGGATTAATTACTTTTACAAAAAAAATAGCAAAACTTAAGACTGGACTCTAGGCAAGCAGATAAATACATACTTCAAAAAAAAGGAGCTGTTTTACCAGCCAAAGGATGTGAAATTGTGTCTAGCCATATTTACACAGTCTTGACAAACAGCCAAGCCAGCTTACTTACCTCATTTATTTTACTGCAGTTAAACAATGAAGCCTAGATACCTTCCTGCCACCATCCTGTGACTGGACAGTTGTGGAGCAGCAACATCATGTTTCTTGTAAGCCAATGTGCCTAAAGTAGATGCTGATTGGCTCAGATGACTTACGTTAACTACATACATACATACATACAAGTTTATTTCTGCATTAAAAAAAAACTGAATTCTAGAATCTGTGCCCACAAAAGGCAAGCAGAGGGCAAATAACTGGTCACTAGTACAACCTGTGACTCAAAATGTAGTGAAGTCCACAATTCAGCATAACAGCCAAAAAATTGAATTTTCAGAAATAGAGCAGCATTGGCAGCCCTCTTATTTTTCAGCAATAGTTCATTGTAACTTATAAGCTTAAAAAGAACTTGTGCTAACAACCAGGTAAATTAATAGTAGGAATCATGAGCCATCAGGAAATATCTTTAATTACATCCTCTGTCCCTCCAGAAGGGCCTGAGGGTCAGAGTCAATATTTGCACAGGTATAGACATACCTTTCTGAATCTCATGTAGCAATGCTCCAGACTGCCAAGAGATTGTTTATGGACATAACATTTGCACTGTGGTATACAGGTGAAAGGAATTTGCTATTTTTTGATGATGAAGTAGGTGACACTTCAGGAAGGTTTTGGCTTGTGAAGGAAGGATGCAGTGTGTATCCAAATACATATATTCTTAGTGCAATATTATTAGAAACAAATACTCAGAGAACAAACAAAACTGCATAAAGTTAAGATGTTAAGTATTAAACTAATTTATCTGGTTATGAAATGAGACATCGCATGTGCTTACTGTGCATTTGTGTGGCTTCTCTCCTGTGTGTCTTCTCATATGGACGACCAGCATATACTGAGCTTTAAATGGCTTTTGCTCTCTGGAACAGTCCAGCCAGCGGCATACAAATTCCTTCTTTTCACCATGTATGTGATCATTGTTTATATGCTGCACAAAAATAGAAGGCGGCAAACATGAGGAAAAGCATTACAGTAAAAAAAAAAAAAAAACACCATTTATATCCTTCAATCATTGTTATTGCTATCATTGTTACCGTATTAAAATTCCAGGTCTGATTTACTAAAAATGTAATGTTCACTCTTGAACTTACTGTACTGTATGCTGACATGTCAGAAAGTCTTTGGTAATGATAGCCCCCAAAGTCAGAGCAAGTGTTTTAATGCATTTATCTTTTAGCCTTGTGAACAAATTACATGCAGATATCTCATCATCGTTAACCATAGGGGAGGATGGGGAAGTTCTGTTCATCTCTGGTCACTCTTATATTTAATCTTTATTTATAGTCATTGTAGTCATATATTTATGACTTGGAATTGTTAGTGCCAAAATAGATTGTTCTAAATGAATACAACAGAAAATAATAATTTGATCCCCTGCAGATTTTGTATGTTTGCCCACTTACAAAGAAATGAAAGGTCCATAATGTTTAATCATAGGTGTATTTTAAATTACAGAGACAGAATATCAACAAAAAATCCAGAAAAAAACACGATACAAATGTTACAAATTGAGTTGCAGTTCAGTGAGTAAAATAAATATTTGATCCCCTACCAACCAGCAATACTTCTGGATCCCACAGACTGGCTTTGTGGTACACAGATTAGTCCTGTCAATTAAAGAAGGTGCTCCTAACGACAACTCGTTATGTATATAAAAGACACCTGTCGACAGAATCTCTTTCTTCCATTCAAACCTCACCACCATGGACAAGACCAAACATCTGTCAAAGGAGTTTAGGGACAAGATTGTAGGCCTGCACAAGGCTGGAATGGGCTACAAGACTATCAGCAAGAAGCTTGGTGAGAAGGAAAAAACTGTTGGAGCGATTATTTGCAAATGGAAGGAATACAAAATAACAATCAATCGCCCTCAGGTCTGGAGCTCCATGCAAGATTTCGCCTCATGGGGTAAGAATCATCATGAGAAAAGTGAGGGATCAGCCCAGTACTACACGGGAGGAGCTTGTGAATGATCTCAAGGCAGTTGGGACCACAGTCACCAAACAAACCATTGGAAACGCAATACACCGCCATGGATTGAGATCTTGCCGCGCCTGAAAGGTGCCCCTCCTCAAGAAGGCACATGTACAGGCCCGTCTAAAGTTCGCCAATGAACATCTAAATGATTCAGAAAAGGATTGGGAGAAAGTGCTGTGGTCAGATGAGACCAAAATTTAACTCTGCTCACTGTGTTTGGAGGAAGAAAAATGCTGATTATGACCCTAAGAACACCATCCCTACAGTCAAGCATGAAGGTGGAAACATTATGCTGGGGGCTGTTTCTCTGCTAAAGGTGCAGGCCGACCTTGCCGCATTGAGGGGCCAATGGACAGGGTACAGTATTGTAAAATCTTGGATGATCAGCCAGTACAGTGAAGATATGTCATGGATGGGTCTATTAGCATGACAATGACCCAAAACATACCACCAAGACAACAAAGCAGTGGCTCAAGAAGAAGCACATTAAGGTCATGGAGTGGCCTAGCCAGTCTCCAGACTTGAGTCCTATAGAAAATTTATGGAGGAAGCTAAAACTTTGAGTTGCCAAGCGACAGCCAAGAAACCTTAAGGATTTAAAGAAGATCTGTTAAGAAGAGTGGACCTAAATCCCTCCGGAGATGTGTGCAAAACTGGTAACCAACTACAAGAAATGTCTTACCTCGGTGCTTGCCAACAAGGGTTTCTCCACCAAGTACTAAGTCATGTTTTGCTTGGGGATCAAATACTTATTTTACTCACTGAACTGCAACTCAATTTATAACATTTGTATCATGTTTTTTTTGGATTTTTGGTTGATATTCTGTCTCTATCATTTAAAATACACCTATGATACAATTTATAGACCTTTCATTTCTAAGTGGGTAAACTTACAAAATCTGCAGGGGATCAAATAATTATTTTCCACAATATAATATGACAGCAGTATATTATGACTTGATATGGTATTTTCAACTATGTCATTATGTCACATGAAAATATAAACAGAGTGATCAAGTAAAGGAGTATTTCTTTCTATTAACCCAGTGGATGTAAGTTTACTTTAGACACCCAGTCAAATGCTGTGGGTTTTTAAATATACTGTAGATATTCCACTGCATATAAAGGCTGTAAGAACCAAGGACCTATTTACTGGATAATTTGCAAAGATGACTGGTTTAAGCAAATCCAACACCATTTAAATAACAAATGACTGACCGAATAAATGATTGCCATTAATACAATATTGGGCTCTTGCATTCTGTACACAATGAACAACTCCATATATGCATGTGCGATTGCATTATTTAACTTTTGAACAATTTTCAGTTGACATGTAAAACCACTAACCTAGTGTAACTGTATAAATAATGTAAAAACTTGAGGGTGGCTTTAAGATTTGAAAGCTATAGGGACTAATCTCAGTAACTATCCCAGCTGTAGTGATTCCAGTGACATGGCAGCAACACTGTACAGACAAAGGCGCACAGACCCTTTAGGCTCTGTTCACACCTAGGCGTATCGAATATGCGCGCTCGTCGCTACTTGGCTGTATCCCAATGGAAAAGCGCTACAAAAACGCCGCAAAGAAGCTCATGTACCTTTTCAGGCGTAGGCCGTTTTGTAGCGCGTTCAGACGGGCTGAAATACGGCAAGGTGTGAAGCATACCCATAGAAAACAATGGGATTTTCATGTTTGAGCGTTTTGTAAAGCGTTCGTAGAGCGCTGAACGCGCTACAAAACGTGCAGGTGTGAACCAGACCTTACTTGTAGGGGAGGAAACGGTCAAACAGCAATTAGAGTTGATAACTTTTGTGAGAGGCCTAAAGGGACTATTGGTAGCTCATTTGTTTTTGCTTTCAGCAGACATGTTCAAAGCTTGTCAGGATCCAGAGCACCCCCAGGTGGTGCTGGAGCCAGGTCCTGCAGTTCCTGTGCACGCCTGTGGGTGTCTCCAGCAGCCAGGGACTGTAAGGAACCTGCAGCTCCAGTACTCACCTGCGGGTGTGCCCCAGCTGTGACTGATCATCCCATCACTTGGTGCTTCCTGGGAGGGTATTTAGGCCCTACCTGCAGTCAGGAAGCTGGCTCAGTATTGCGTCGCGTGCACTTGACTGATTCCCATAAACCTGAACCCTGCTTCCTGATCCCTGCTTCCTATCTGCAGACCTGTCACCGACCCGGCTTGTTACCCGACCACTCTCTTGGATCCTGTTCCTGTACCGTGCTACTGCCCTCCTGTTAACGACCCGGCTTGTACCTGACCACTCTTCTTTTATCTTGAGGCCTGCCATATATCTGCAGGCCTGTTACCCCTCCTTGTTGCTTCCCCCTGGCTGTAGGTGTGTGTTTGTCCCAACGGTGGGTTTATTACTTCACTGCTAAACCTGTGGGGGGTTGAGGGGGTTTGTAGTTTTGTTGTTGTGTAGCAAATAAACTGTGTGCATAGAACCCTATCCTGTGTGGGCATATTAATTTGGTCATCCTGCGTGGGTACCTGCATGTGGTGTGAGGACGCCTGTGCATGGTACCCTGACAAAGCTAAACAAAACAGAAACAAGTTTTCTGAGACAAATATACATAAGGAACAAAATGAGCAAGTAAAGCATCTGCGCATATTTGGATTAAAAAGAAAAAAGTCCTTTATAACATTCTGCCTCAGGAACCAGGTGTTTGTTATGTTTGCCCTGGACAAAATATGAATCATTCTCAATAAATACAGAACAGAAAAAGGACATGTAAACTTTTGCAGTGTTTGGGAACTCATGCCATATACCATAGTAGTAACAATTCTTTCTTGATACCTCTAGATGGCACAATATACAAAATAGTTCCACTACTAAGCTGGAATTCCCTACTTTCTGTTGTAAATACACATGGTCTATATCATCATCCCATGTTATAAAAGTAACAAAAGCTTTTGACCTTCTTTAGCATTGATTGCAAAGTGCAGTACAGTCAAGAGGAAGAAATGTTAACAATAGTACATTTATTAGTCATTAGCTACACAGTTAAGTTTTCCAGTAGAAAAAAAATAAAAGCACTCCGGGAATTTAAAAAAATCTTACCTTTGCAGTGGGGCTACGTCCGCACTGCAAGGGTTAAGTGCTAATTTTTTCTATGGGTCTCAAATAAAGCCGATATACTCACCTGATCCAAGCTCGTGGGGCAGTCAACACTGAGCTCCTCTCCCCCTCCGCTCCAGCTGTTGAATGTCCCTTGGCGTTCTCACGTCTAATGCAAGTCAAGTCATGGACCTGCATTAGACGTGATGATGTCATCGGTCCTTAGATTGTTGAAAATACAGATAGCAGGTGAGTATATCTGCTTAATTCCAGCCTCTAGACCAAAACAAGCACTTAACCTTTGCAGTGCATGGGGTAGCCCCACTGCAAGGGTATGTTTTTTAAATTTGTGTAGCTCTTCCTTTAGACCCCATTCACACTGAGCGAAATGGACAATCGTGCGTTTTTCCACGCGGTTTCGTGCTGAGAGGCATTGACAGGAGCGGAAATCGTGCAATAAACCGCTCAGTGTGAACGGGGTCTTAACTTGAATTTACAATTCTGTTTTATTAGTTTAATAACCCAAGAAATAGAAAACTGCAACAATTTGAGTTTGTTCAAAGTAAAAAAGTGCTATAAAAACACAAATTACGATACAAAGAATCAAAAGCCTGACAGGCATTCAGGACATACAATGCAGACACATATTCAGTAGGCAGTTCAAAGTTGTTCAGCTTCCAAAATGCTTCGTGGCAATGACTGATGAGCTATTCTTGTGCCTAAACCTTAAAAAATGCTAAAGGTAATTTGTGTTTAAAAATGAAGCGATGGATTTTTCCACATTAGCTAATTCCGAGGCACTCTGTGAAGCTATAGTGTGCTCTTACATGCAGGATTATTAAAAGTATCACAGACTGCAAACTGCTTCTATAATACAGTAAAGGC